CCCAATACATTTTTTACAAATGTTGATCACATAATGAATACAACCACTGAAGTGATAGCTAATAAGATTTCTGTAATAAATAGAAAAATTAAAAATGTAACCTGATTTCCTCTTCTGATGCAATCCTTTTAAGATATGACATGATGATCTGAATGTTCTAAACAAATATGAGGTTTGAGATGAGAGATAAATTGGACAAGCCTGAGATTTTTTGAGAATGTGGATGGAAACAAATCATTAGAGATTTACATATACTGGATGATTGAGGATTGAAATAATAGACATAAAAATGATGGTTGTATGAGACTAACTATAATAAGTGATAGTTTACTGGTGGTATCAGCTTGTTGGTATCTTTTGCTCAAATCGTTTCTTTGAGTGTCTCAGTCTCTTGAAGAGCAGCAGCAATTTTTCTTTGGATATTGGATGAGCAATGTGCTGTATTGAGTGAGTTGATGACTGGTATTTAATGTTCAAAACGGGAGATAGAAAGAATGAAATGATTCTCAGTGTGAGGTAACAATGAAGAAAGATGAAGATGATAAGTGAATTGATGATGATGACCAAAGAATTGGACTGACCTTGAAGAAGGTAAAGTTTAGTTTCCATTTGATAGATAGTATGTGTATTAAGATTTGGTTGATGAGATGAAGATGGGATTGCAAGAGACATAGATTTCATGAGTGACTGCAAGGCTGTAATGCTGAAGATTGATCTAACTTAACTAAGTCCCCTCCTAGTGTTAGTTACACTACACAAAATGTAATCTTTACCAGGCGGTAAAGAAAACTACTGACATAGAAAGGTCCTGAGGCAACAGGAAGAGAGCTAAAAATCTGAAAAAGTATGCAACTTGTTCCTAGATGTTGGGGCATTGTGATGAGTATTTTTTGTATTTTACACACAGATATTGGTTAATGTACTAACAATAAAGGCTGAAAATCATCAAAAACCCATCTGTAACAATACCTGAAATTTGGGTCATGATTATGAAGACCATATTTTGTGGTCTAAAAACTTCAATAACTTGTGCAATTATGCTCCAGATAACTTGATTTTTGGTTCAGTCAAAAGCTGAACTATTCTCCTTTACACTTCATAAAGGTAGCAAGGTGTTATCTAGTCATTTAAATACTCTACATATGTTCAAACAGTTCTTCATGAATAGGTCTGTAGGATCTTTTGCAGACCGGCTACAGATGTGGTGTCTTGATGATAAATGTAGAGGAATGACTCACCTTTTTGATGAACTTAAAATCGAGTGATTTGATTCAGAACTGCAAAAGTTATTGATGTTTAAAGATTTCAAAATCCTGTCTTCAAAATCATGGGCCAAATTTCAGGTATTGTTACAAGTGAGGTTTTGATGATTCTCAGCCTTTATTGTTAGTACATTAACCGATATCTGTGTGTAAATTACAAAAAAATAGTCATCATGATGCCCCAACATCTAGGAACACAGTGCATATTTTTCCAGATTTTTAGCTCTCTTCCTGTTGCCTAAGGAGTTTTCTATGTCAGTAGTTTTCTTTACCGCCCGGTAAAGATTACATTTTGTGTAGTGTTAAGTCAGCAATTTAGATATGATTCATTTTAATTGATCATTATAGATATGATTCATTTTAATTGATAATTAGGGTTAAAAAAGTGAATAAGTGGGAGATCACATACTTTTCTTTTTCACATTAAGGTCTAGGCCGTCTGACTGGCCGTCTGACTGCCTAAGGCCCTAAGGGGTGGGTTTTGTCTTGCCTTTGTTTAAGGTCCCATTTTGCCTAAAACTGACCTGTAAATGGTCTGCCAGGCAAAGCCACACGTTGTTCAACAAGGCTGCAAGGCACATCATAAAAATTCATCACCACATTTTGTGAGATGTGGTGATGAAATACAGCTTGATTTTTATGATGCTTTACCACCACATTTTGTGAGATGTGGTGATGAAATACAGCTTGATTTTTATGATGCTTTACCACCACATTTTGTGAGATGTGGTGATGAAATACAGCTTGATTTTTATGATGCTTTACCACCACATTTTGTGAGATGTGGTGATGAACAACCTTGGCCCTTTCCTCACTTGTGAGGACCAATATCACGGCCTAAACTAAAATTACAGTGGAGGACAAGGAGATTTTAAATGGACACAGAAGATGATCAAGATTTATGGGATACAAAGTAAAAACTGGGAGTTTTTTCCCAGTTTCCCAGTTTCTCAAATACAGCCAAAAACAAAAACTAGACAACTGGGAAAAAAATGCCAGTTTTTACTTTGTATCCCATAATTGAGAAAATTATTTTGTCATTCAATTTTAGCACCAGTAGGTAGATGGCAAAAAATAGAGATATCACTTGGTAAATCAAAGTAAATAAATTCAATCAGAAGAAATTGAAGCAATTAAACTTTCTGAAGAAGAAGCATCCAATAGTTGCTTCATGTAACACTTAACTAATAAGCATCTTTTAGAAAGGAGGTTCCAAACAAAAGATATTTGATAAAGATTGTTCTTTTGAAGAATAGCCACCGTTTGCTTGGCAAGTAAGTGTCCTTGGTGATGCCATGCCACAACCTTCAATCTGAGATGCCAAACAAATTAGGCCCATTCTTTCTTGATGTAGGAGAATGATGCTCCTATAAACACATGTAAGTTACCTTTTACTGTTCAGACGTCTTGAATCAAACAATATTTGCTATCTAATTCCTGTGAAAAATTCAAAACAAGTGTCAGTCAAAGAGACAGAATGAAGACAGTGTAAACAATACTTGAGATTAAAAAAATAAATTGAAAACCTTAAGCTCCTTTTCTGTAACCAGATCTTGGAGTGAGAGATAGAGATGTTTGGCCTCATCTGCTGACCATTTGCGACCAAACACACAAGCATCTGGACAAAGCCAGTAGATGATTGACTGGAGAATAGGATCTTTGAATTGTAAGACAGGTAAAGCATGTGATACCTGCCACACAGCAAGACATTGATTGAGGGTCTTGTTAACAAAAGCGGGCACTGTTTCAACAAAGGACGTAAGGGAAGGCTGATGATTTTGCCTGAGTCATTTGGCACATAATTTGGATTTGCTGGGAGGCTTGATTGCTTGCTGACAAAGTGGACAACCAGCTCCAGACTTACCTAGTTGCTTGTGACCGTCTTGATGTGCCTTGAGGTTTGATCGATGCGAGATACAACTAACTTGAACATCTTTTTTGCACCACAAACATGGCCATGAGAGTGGTGGTCCATCAAGTGGCTGCAGGGTTAGGATTTGGTCAGCACTGCGTGAAACTAGATAAAAGAAAAGAAGAGACGTAAATAAAAGCAAACAACTTACATCCTTTTTTACTGGACAATGAAAGTATGGCCCATGATAATTCTCAGGACAGTCAAATTCTCTGGGGTCAGGTTTGTTCCTCTTTCTCTTACAGATCCACTGATTCTCTTTGTCAGATTCTTGTGCCAAGTCCACTGAAGGAGGGCCAGAGGGAGCCTATCAACGTGCCAATGACAAAATAGATTCAGTACAACATAAACTACTTTGATTCAAGAGCAATCAATCAAGGGACGGCTTACCTCAATACCTGGTTCAATTGGCAGAGCCCTTGAACAAACCGTGGTTGACCGGAACACATCATTCACAGGGTTTTGAATCAGTTGCACCCTTGGAGAGCCTTGATGTCCTTGAGTAGAGGTATTAGTACTAGTACTAGGAGAATAATTGGAAAAGAAGAGGATAAGACGCCCTGCGGGATTTCTTTCCCTCCGGGTAGTTACGAGGCAGTGCTCCGCGCTGCACGCTTCCTCCTGGACTGCAATCCAGGGTTGGCAGGATTTGGTAGTTGTTCCATATCACTCATAGTACATCTTATCAGGTCAGCACCATCCTTAAGAGCAGGATTGAGTACATAGTTGTTCCATATCACCCATAGCACATCTTATTATACCTTTGCCACAGCAGAGTGTGTTTCAAGACACCTGAAACCCCTGATTATAACAACTTGTTTGCTTGTTGTAATTTTTTTTGAAAGTGTAGGAAACTTCTAAGTTAATAGTTGTCTTGAATTAAAAATTAAATCTTTAAAAATGAGTTGTTTAGTTGACCATTTTTGTTTCACAAAGATTTTTTTTTCATGAGAAAAAAAACAAAAGTAAATTTGAAAACTACCTAAATTGACTTTATTTTAAAGAACATTTAACTTTTTTTTTGTAATCTCCAATAAACCTACAGCCGTTTGCAGTTTTGATGTACTTGCGACGAAAGATGAGTGAATGTTGAGTCAAACATTCATCAAATTTATATTGAATAAATTTCGAATGAAAAAAACCAAAACCCATAGTGATCACATAAGCAGCTCAATTGCCCTATTTTTTGCTTTTGATCTTGAGTGAGTTCCACTTTGACCAATTCCATGATCAATCCTTACTTTGATAACTCAAGATGAACGCCAACTCTCATCTCAATACCGCTCAATTTATTGATAATGATTCACTCGACAACTTACCAGCCTTTGATGAAGTTGAGCTTATGCAACCTGGAGCATCCTCAAACAACAGTCCAGATGGTAAGACATAACACACTCTCTTACTTTTATTAAGCAATTGCAATATATGCTGATACTGTGTATTTTAATTACAATTCAATCCTTACCCCGCACACTGTAATAGTTATTGAGGTTCTTGTAATAGTTGATGTTTGGATTGAACGGCCTCCACAGCCTGTACTCAGAAGGACCAAGAAAGTCGCTGCGGCTCCTAAGGTAGACTGGGACGCTTTGAACTCGGTCAAAGACAAGAGAATGATCAATCATACCTTCAAGGTGGATCCGATAACCTGGACATGGGAAGACTGTAGGACTCAGGTTTCAGCAGTCGCTGAGCGATTCCTCCCCCTTGTTTCTAGCCATTTACTCACTGGTAAAAACAAGGGATTGATCTCGTGGGTAGGTAGCGTTAAATACAACCGAAAGAACCTTTGAACAGTTGATATCACTCAAGAAGAAGGCTGGGTCATGTTTCATTCACTCGTCAACAACAAGGAACCCACGATAGCCGGGGTCTCTATTAGTATTACAATGGAAAACCCTTGTGCTGCTGCAAAGGCCTTACAAAATGTAACAGGTCTCCTTCATCATCTTATCATCATATCCAACTAATCATGTTTCTGAACGTATTCCCTTTCCAGCAAGCCAACATGACTCAGAGCTTGATAATGCAACAGAATATCCCCGGACTTGCGGAACCTGGGGCTTCCCAGAGGCCACAAGATATCGAGGTAAGGGAATCCTGAGTGTGTCTGATATTCTCTCACTGATTGATTACACTCAGCCGCTTTCCGTTCAAGGGCAATTACAACAGGTTATAGGCGAGCTTCGAACCTTACATGCAAAGCACAGTGGTGCGGGTGATGGTGCAATATATCAAGATCCCACCAACACTTCGAAGACGTTACAACTCACCAATATTCTTCTCACGATCTGGGCAAGATCGATTGTGAGTGTTATTCAAATTTATATCATCATTTCATTTCGCTCATCATTCATTTCAAATCATTAGATCAAGGGGGATGTTGGTGTTGATCTAGTCACCCCTCCTAAAACCAAACTCTTTGTTTGTACAGTTGGAGGTGGTGAACCTCCTCCAACTCAATTGACCTTGATTGATCCAACACCGAGTACTTCAACAATAAGCATAGCCCCATCAACTTCTGGACCATTCGATCTCAATGATCGTGGAGTTGCAACCCCCCCATTTGAACACTTCCTTGACTTCTCCAAAATTTCACCTGCAAATCCAGCTCACCAACTCGTTTGAGATCTTGGTTATGAGACTTGGAGAGCTTTTGAAGCCAGTGAATTTATGAACATTGAAGCTCTGAGAAACAATGGTTTGAAAGTTGGGACAGCCCATGGATTGATCAGTAGAGCAAAGGTTTACAGACAACATTATCACCAGTCTAATTAGAGTGCTCGTTCAAAATGTATAATATGCATCATGTTAAAATTTCATTATAAAAAGTGTTGATACAAATGATTTAATGTCTGTAAAATGCAAAGTCAAACGATTCTTTGATTTCACCATGTGTCTTAAGCAAATGAATAACACATTTCTTCACTCCAATGAAAGAAACAATGAGAGTTAAATGTTAAAGATATCCAGATCCCTTGTAAAGCTCTCTCATCAATTTTACAGTGACAGAAAACATGATTTCAATGTAGGTCCGCTCGATCTCTTCTTCCTGGGTCAAGTTGTCTCGATTCAACTCCCAAGAACGAATGAAGTGATTTTTGATAACAGAAAAACACTTCTCGATCGGATTCATAAAAGGGCTATAGGCGGGTAGATAGACAAGGATAACATCTTGATCAAAGCAGATAGCTCCAGTCTCAGGACCCATGTGGATTGGGCAGTTATCCATGACAAGAACTGAGTTCTTCTGTGGCCAAGGGTTCATCATGGGCATCTGAAAAGATCAAACAGTCAGCTCGGTCGATAAAAAAGCAAGTAAAACACTCACCAATTGTACCCAAAGAAACTCTTCAAAATCGACCCGCCAAGGCCCTCCTTCCATCACTTGTAGAGCCAAGCAGCCATCGAGCGAGACAGCTGTAAGTGCAGTATAGTGTGTCCCCACTAAAGTTCTCTCCATTCAATACGTTCGCTCACCTATAGGAGCCCACCCCATTTCTCAATACATATCTTGCTTGTTTATACCTGTTTCATCTAACACAAAAGAGTCAAAGATGTTAGAATGAAACTCAGGAAGATAAAGTGAGAGAACTCACCAAGAAAAACCAATCAATCAGCCGGTATCTCCCACACATACTCAATGTAATTACCCAGATCAATCAGATCATGATTGGGATTTATAGTCCGGCAGACTTTCCGAGTTAAGCCAAGGCGTTTCTTCATCTCGCGCGAAATCATTGCTGTGGAGATGGATGTTGCAGTTTCTTCCAACAATTCTAAAGCCAACTCATCCTGATAAATTGTCGGATCGGTTTCTATCAAATGAGCTAGCAAAGTGCGCTCATCAAGATTGAGCAAGCGAGGAGCTCCAAGGACTTCATAGGTGTCTGGGTTCCTAATAACTGCACCAGTTTCTTCAAATAAACCCTTCCATCTTTTTAAGCTTGAGAGAGAGATATTTAAGCCGCTGAGTCCCTGAATTTCTTCATGAGTTTTGCCTTGTCGCATCCATTGAACTGCCATGTACTTGACTTGTGGATGATAATATCGGCCATTTCCGCCACGTGCACCAATTGCCATTGTTGAGGTGGGAGAGCTTGTACCTTAAGAATTGTTTTCTAAAGTAGCAATTGGTGGGAGACATGGTGATCAAAAATAGGGCAATTGAGCTGCTTATGTGATCACTATGGGTTTTGGTTTTTTTCATTCGAAATTTATTCAATATAAATTCAATGAATGTTTGACTCAACATTCACTCATCTTTTGTCGCAAGTTCATCAAAACTGCAAACGGCTGTAAATTGTTTTTTTCTTTTCCAAAAGTTATTTAAAAAAATCATGAAAAAAAAGATCAATCAAAAACAACAAAATGAATTCACAGGCACCTTCACTTATGTAAGCAATTTCTGGTGACAAATCACATTTTGCAAAATTTAAAGTGTCTATTTGGTAATACATGTTTCATTTTTGCTTTAAAACATTTACAGAATGTGATTTTTCTGGTCAGAAATTCCTTTAAGTGAAGATGCCCTAAAAAGATTTCTCTTGTAAAAAAAAAACCAGTACTAAAGAAAAAAAAAGTTTCATTATATACAAAGAAAACATCAAAGAAATCTACATACTTAGGGCACGTTCACTTAGTCAATTTCTGATGAGAAATCACATTCTGAAAAATTTAAAGTGTCCATTTGGTGGTGCATGTTTCATTTTTGCATCAAAAAATTTACAGAATGTGGTTTCTGGTCAGAAATTCCTTAAGTGAACGCACCCTTATTTAATCAGTTGATTAGTACGCTTATTGATGCAAATAAAAACCCATCAAAAGTTAGAAATTCATTCAAAGAGATTCAAGTGTTTTTTTTTCATTTTTTTCACGTTGGTTTCTTAAAAGATATTCAAAAAAATCATTTATGAAAAAATTTAAACTTCATTCATTTATTTATTAAATAAAATCATCAAATAGAGAAAAAACCAAAGAAAACCAATCATACATAAATACAAAAAAAAATCAAAAACATCAAATCAGAACAAGAAAGTAATTTTTCTTCCAATCAATCAATCAAAAAAAAACCCATGTAAAAGAATTTCAAACTTCATTTTGAATCTTCATTTCATCCAATTTAATCATTCTCATTCCAATAGATTCCAATTCAGATCCGAATTCCAATTCGTTTCTCAATCCCAAAGCGCTCAATCTACCAAGAGAATTTTCCTGACTATGAACCTGATGATTTCCGTTTCCAATCGAACTCGTAGTAGAAGAAGATAACCCGATACCTTCTTCATCTTCTTCGATCTCATCTTTGATCATATCATCCATAGTAGGTAAAGAAAGTGAAGCAGGCGCAGGTGGGATCGTTCGTTTTCGTACCAGTTTGTTGGATGGGTTCATCACATTTAAGTTGGTGGAAGTCGAATGATCTGGTCGGAGTTGGTCTGTCGATGGTCGTGGTGAAGGTGGCGTCACAAAGGCTATTGGTGTATCAGGTTGAGAAGGTAGAGAAGCGTGGGATCCTGAGGCGAAACCGGGGGGTGGGTGTTGGTGTGGTGATTGAGTTGGATTTGGATTAGATGGTCCTGGTCTAGAATGTGCTTGAAGTGACGGTTTTTGTCGATCTTAAATCCCCCAAAAAAATAAATCAAGATGAATTTAAAGGGAAAAAGGTTGAAAGAATCAAGTGAAAAAACTTACGGGTTGGATTAGGACGAGTAGCAGAAGAAGAATACAATCCGATCTCAGACCAACGTTGTTTTGATCTTTCACAAAGTGCTTCAATCACATTCATACCACGAAACTGATTTGAAAGTTTCCAAAGTTTCGATTCACTTGAATCTTTCCAATCTGATTGAAGATTTCCATCATGAAAATAACCTAATTCACCAATCCCATCTTCTTCATCTTCATCACTTTCAACTTTCCAACCTGATTCATCATCTTGATTTATTTCATTTGAAGAAGATCGTTTTGAATTCTTCAAAGAATGATGATGATGATGATGAGTTCCACCTAGAATTGCAAAATTACCTTGTTCTAGATCATCTGCGAATGAAGATAACCATTTTCCCCATCCTTCTTGACCATCTCCATTCCAAAGTACCACTTTCTCATCAATCTCTCGTCCAAACGCAATCACTTGTCCAACTGAAGCTTGACTGTTTCCTTGACCTCCTCCTATGATCCGTTTAGAATTCAAACTTGGATTCAAATCATGATCAGGATCTAAGACCATAGGAGGACTCAAATCCACACCAATATAATTTCCAACTCGATCGGTCAATAAAGGTAACCAACCTGGATGAGAATAAACTTCATGAACCCAACCGGCTGGACAAGATGACATTTGGTTTTGAAGTAAGTTGGGATGTGATTGAAGATGAGCTTGATTAGGTCTAGCAAAATCAGTAGCATTAAAAGCATCATTAGGTAATTGACCATTATCTAATCTTCTCCAAAACCCATATTCAGTTTCGATTTCTTCTGAACTCATTAACCAAAGACCATAAACTAAACCATGATTAGTAGAAGAAGTGGTCGAGAAAAGATCTTGACCATCATGAGTTTGTAAAGAATCTTTCACTGAGTTTGGTAATGATAAATGATATGATTGTAAAACGGATTCTAGATTTAATAAAGATAATGAATCGACTGGATAAGATAAAGTTTCGATTAAGTCTGGATTCGATTTACTTAAGAATTTATGAATCCGATTCCAAATCGATTGTAAGTTATGATTAGAAGATAGTTTTTTCGAATCAGTGATAATCAATTCTCCTTGACCCATACCGATGGGTGATGATAATCTTTCGTTGAAGAATGGATAAAGTTTAGATTGAATGGGAGGATAATGTTCTGATAAGAAAAGTTCATCGGTTGTTGAACGTGAGATCGTAGGTTTGTTTAGGTGGGTTGGTGAAGATGATGAAAGAGATGGAGATCTTGATGATTGATTTGATCTGGATGCTGGTTGAAATGTTTGATGTGAATTTATTCTTGGTTTAGATGATAATGGTGGACTTGGACTGTTGAAATGGGAAAGTGTGGGTTAGGATCATGAATGCGTATTTGGGATTGAAAGATACTGACTGTGGAGAAGGAGGACCATAGACTTCTTCGTCTTCTTTTTCAAGTTGACGACGAGATGGAGGAGGTAAAGTTAAATTAGATCTAAGTGAAAGTGAAGGTTGCTTTCGATGATGATGATGATGATGTTTGAGGTTTGATTGTGATTTTTGATTTTGATGAGGAGTAGTAGTAGTGGTGGTGGTGGTGATGGTGCTAGTAGTCGAACTGAACAAACCTTGAAAGAAACTCATTCTCAGATTGAAAAAGGTAAAAGTGGAAGTTGAACTAATTCGATTTGACAACTTGCAGTTTGTGGTGTTGATTAAATTCTACAAATCATCATTTGGTTTTGGAAATTTACAAACTGTTCACTGTCACTGTCACACTCTGTCAGATTGGTTTCAAATCTTCAACTTCTCATGATCACCAACTACAACTTGCTCAATCTGTGACTTGTTTCATCATTCAAAACTCTCTCAATCTAGTCCTATGTAGTAGCTTAAAACTCAGTTCATCCTCAACACAATCTTCTCAACTGGACATCAGCAAATCATATACAGCTTCTTGAGGAATCTGTCATGTTCATTTTTAGATCAAGCTCAAGTCTTACATATACATATCTCTTATCATCATCACTTTGAGTTGAGCTGAAGTCTACATCTCTTTTGATCACTGTGCTAATATCACATTTTAACATTCAAACAACAACAAACACTATTAACAAAGAGTTTTCAATCACCACAGAATCATAAACTCAGCTTGGTCATATGGACAAGACAAGTGAAAAAAATATTTCACCATACATCTTCCACACAGATCACTTGATACGATTCTACAGCTGAAGTTATAATCCAGATCCACAAAACAATTCAAGCTCTGCTCAAAAATCAAACTTGAGCTGGCTAGAATGTAAGAGTCCTAGAATAGGTTTTAGTCTTCCAAAAAAGGATGAGATCATCAAGATTTCAGGCTTGCTAAACCATGAAGGTGTCCAGAAAGTGAATGAGAACCTCATTTCTAGTGTTGACACTCAGGCTCAGCACCAGTGAGCCTTGGAATAAGATGACATCAGTTCCCTTGCAATGGATCAGGTCTCTAGCTCTTGTGATGAAGGAGTCTATAGATCTGCTACTGAATCAACACCAACTCTTTTACCCAATTCACCACTTGATCCCAGAAGGATCATGTCCAACACATTTGTTGACTGATTACAGGTTTACAGCAGTTTCAAGAATAAAGGTTGTCTGCCTGTTTTATTTTTTTTGTTTTTTGAAGGTTACACTCAACATTACTGAACTAGATTCTACCTAGAGCAATATTGTAATCCACCTTTCAAGTATCCTCCTACTTTTCCGGTGATTGCAAGCATACCAAAGTTTGTGTATTTTGCAGGGTACAACAAAAGTAATTATATTGAAAGATAAAGGTGATCTTTCACAATCCTTACATCCTGGAATAAGTCAAGTACAGCTGTTGTGTAGAATCTAGTTGACTAAGTTTTAGTGTAACCTTACAAAAAACAAAAAAAATGAAAAATTAGCATGTGAGATTTATTCTCAAAACTGATGTACATGATCTAAAGCCCTGTCCTTGTAAACTTTAAAGACTTGCTTGTAGCTCATCACCTTCAACCAATGATGATCCAGATATTGTTGTATGATGACTTCATCATGAGGAATCCTTCTATTCCGCAGTCTGATCAAAACACTGTTAAGATTGTCACTAGATTTGGTAAAGCTGGATAGTTATGTAATGCCTATAAAACATTATATGTCTAAAGTGATGGTTTTGAGATGTGAAGTTGTGAACCTAATTGACTGTCTTGGGTATATGGATGATATCTTATACAACTTCTCAAGAGTGATGAGTTGATAATGTCCTTCTAATCCAGACTTGAAAACCTGGATTCTAAAAACAACTTGACCAAGAACAAAACTTGTAGAATTGATCTGATTGTACAAAATTGATCTAATCTTATAACCTTTTGTTTACAAAATTCATTCTGGGTACTAAATTATTCGTGCATGTGAATCTTATTAGATCATCCTAGGAGTAAACCAAGATCAAGAATAAAGGTCAATCATCTCAATTAAAAATTTGTAGAAAAATGATTGCTGGTTTCTTGGAATGATCTCTAAATGTTGAGCTGATTTTTTTCCTTTTTATATCAATTTATCATGTGCACACTGAAACCTTTGAATGTGATTGAAATCATCAATATGGTTTATCTAGATGAAATCCTGAATTCTTATTTTGATCCCTTCAATTTCAAGTTTGATATATATTTTATAGAAGACAGAACAAAAACCTTGGAATGATATTAAAGTTTTCAATGCATTACAAACTGATTTGAAGTTGCCCTTTTCTGCAAAGACCTTTTTTCAATAAAAAAATAGTTTTGTAAATTTTAGAAAGAAACATGGTTCATACAAATACCCCTAGAAGCTATCAGAAATCAAATCAAGATATGTGACTTCCCTAAAACATTTTCTAACACGTTCTTTTGTAATCTCATGTTCAAAAATAACATACTAAGTACTATTAGAACACAAATATACACCCCAAGCCTTTGTGATATATTTGGTTGTCTTACTAAGCCCTAAATTCCAAATGGTCCCAAGTTGATATGTTTTACAGAAAGAATTGCATTGACCCATATACATAGAACATTTTTGTAGAATTTCGGCAACACATCTCTAGTTGAAAAGCAAGTTCAACTGAAATACATTACCAAGTTGATCTGAAATCAAGATAATGGCTCAGTGAATTTGAAGCTGGATGTCACCAAAATGAGATGACCTTACAGTCAAATCTCATAACTCAATGGCAATCTTCCTGCAAACCTCATTTGCAACTTGGCAGGAGTCTGTGCCAGTTTATATCATTCAATCAATTGCACTTGGCATAAGTTTGTGTGGTAGCAGACCTATTAGGGGGTTTCAAGTCAATAACTTTAATCACAAAGAAGTTGTTTTCATTGATATCTCTCTAGCCTTGGCTTTCAGCTGGATATTTCCTTAAGTTTGAACAAGCTCATAAAGATGATCAGCTTGATCAGAAGTGATGATCAAATGGTGTATGCAAAATTACGTATGGCAAGCGTTACAAATGCGCAGAAAGCCACAGTTGCCTCTGTTTTAACTTGGCATTTCCTTGGAGGTTTTAAGGACGTGATTAGTGATAGGATTTCTCTTATAAAACCTCTTACATTTGACCAAAAAGCTTTCTCCTCAACCTATCCTATTCAAACTCATCCTACATTCAGATTATTTTGGTAGAGTACCCAAAAGCCTGCAAAGGTACCTCTGTAGTCCATTATAGAGGACATGCCAGAGTTGGAGAACTAATGTGTGAAGGGAAAGCAATAAGGCTCTCCTGCACCTTCATGGCTTCAGGCCGGCCCGGGGTGAGAGAGTGAAGATTTTCAGTTGTCCTCTCTCTCCCTCTGCTCCAGACCTCCACCCCATAGCCTTTTCTCCTCCTGGGACTCTCCAAGCGACTTTCCTGGATTTCTCTCCCCTGTCTTTCTCTCTTTTCTAGGTTCATCTTTCCTTCATCAAGTTTGAAACACCCACCCGCCATCCAGGGTCAGGAAACCCCCCCGGTTTTACAGTCTGTTCTCACCCCAATGGAGGTGACTTGGTAATTATCCAACAGGATGACTTATGGCCCACCCCCCATTGGGGTCCCCCCAAACCACACATAAGCTTATAAAGTTTTACTGTGTGTATATGTATTGTAGACTGAGTAGCCCTACTGGTAGGATATATTGCAGAAATCAAGGTTTCTTAGCACGTGTCAGATCATGTGTAGAGGTGACAAAACATAACTACCCCCCTGGGATAGCCTTGGGGCACGCACTCAGACTAATGGATCATAGTCGTATATATATATATATCAAATTTTGATTTGAGATCATTGTATTGTATAAACATTTCCCTTCAACTTTCTTCATCCTCAATTTCAGATTCAAAACCATCTCCACCCACCCAAAATGATGTCTTATATCAATCCTTGTTTCATTACTCTTGCTTTAATCATCACTATGTCATTTGGAGGGTATAACCGAGTTCCATGTTTAAATAATTTGGAAACAGAGGAAGTAAGGCAATCAATTGAGGAAGAATCATCTTCAAGAAACACTCCATCTTTTACTCCTGTAAGTTTTTGTTGGTATCTCTCGTAACTAACATCTCACAAATATTTTTTCATAAATCAATATAAGCTTTGAGAGGCCAGGCCAGTACAAGTTGGACCTCAACTGATGCCATTGGGTAGTTGTGGAATGAAGAAAGGACCACCTGGTTGTGGATCATGAAAACTTCATCAAATCAATTCCAATTTCAATCAAGTTCATCAGGATGGAATGATTGATTCTTTTGTTTTGTGAAATTTTCATTTTTCTTGTTTGATTTGATTTGTTAAATAGAAAAATAACTGTACAAAGTTTGAATAAACTTGTATATTCCAGAGAAGTATATGAATTACAAACAAGTGATTCAGTGTGCTCCTCATCTACAAGAGCAGTGTTAGGTGAAAGATTAACAAACATGGCCAAGGGTGGAATAGAACTTTTTTTAACCCCCTTTTAGATTTCCTTATTTTCAGGACCTTGCACTATAGGCGGCAAGAGCTAGCCATGATTTATTGAAGATAACAATTGTTTGTATCAATGTCTTTGGAAAAATGCTGTGAGGGTGCTATTACAGCTTGATAAGAGCTTCAAGGGACTTGGTCCACCAGTTTTGGTCTTTGGAAGGCTTTTTACTTTGGTAAGGATGGTTTACACAAAACCAATGAGGATTCTCTTGTAATCTTTACTTAATCAGTTTATTTTGTTTTGGGTATGGTACAACTTCCAGCCTTGATGCTGTATCTCCTCTTAGAGTTTTGTTGTTTTGTGTTTGACTTGATGGAGGAGGGACATTGTTTTTCTCTTTTTCTACATACCTTGACACAGCATGACTTTGGTTTGTGTCCTTGAGGATATGGACTCCGTACATACTTTCCGCTGGCTCCATGCTCATTGCAACTTTTGGATGCTGAGCTGATTACTGATGTGTGAGTCTTTCCATTGTAGAGTGAACTCAACGATCAAATTTGGGCTAGGTAAATTAAACACAGAATCATTGACCTGCCCGTTAGACCTGCCGGGACTCTGGTGTGATGAAGTATTGAAACTTACACTTGATATTTATCGAGTCACAGTGTGATTGGATTTAAATGTAGATATAGAACTCCAAATTCTACATTCTCACAAATGTTCATTAGCATCCGAAATGAAAGAAATGCAAAAAGCAAGATTTCATTAATTAAATAGCAACTTCAAGAAGCGTAAAATTTTCAATGTCTGACACAGAGCCGACGGTCAAACTCTAAACCCCCAACTCTGCAGGATGGAATGAGGAATATTTGAAACATCTTTGAAAAATTTCTTAAATCTTACAATGGTTACATACTGAAAGATAAGAAAATAGGTTAAATTAAGTAAGCTTTTCATCAATGACAAAATGGACTGACCCATGGCTTTGGGATCAAGAGTTATAGGTGAACCAGGGCACGTATAAGAACTTCCACCGTCGTTGTGGCAAACTGAACATTTCTCATTCGAGGGGGAAGATCGATTTAAAAAAACACTTTAGTAGGCATACGTATATAGGTTTTATAACAAGACTCGGGATACCAACCATAACCCTTTTTGGTCTGGTCATAATCATATGTTGAACAGTCTTGATCACTTGCGCCGCCTACTAGAGAGCCCTTGGGTCCATTCAAGTAGCAGCCTGTCATCTTGACATATCGAGTATCTAACATCAAAATGCAAAAAACGGGTGTCCGGTGATCAGCTTTAGGGTTACTTTTATACCAAACGTATCAAGATTGGTTTGTATCGTACTAATGATCGGGGACGAGCAACTTGACTTTTCGCACTTGCAATGGGTTACAGCAGGGTAACCCGTCCTGCAATCTTGTAATGCGAGCAATCACAAGACAGGTCCACATTAGCGATGGCTGTAGATCATGCTGGAGTTATTGAGCAATTAAGATCGCGTACACGCGTATTTCTTTCCGAGAGAAAATCCAGTTTCGCAGCCGCATTGGTAGCTCTTGTCCCAAATCGAAATCCCTGGGAAACCATGAATCCCAAGGGAAAATACTAGAACGGAGAAAATCGGGAGGAAGCAGAGCATTTATGGTGTAAGGAGCAAGAAATGAAGATGAACTTCAATTCAGGTACTTGAACTTGCGACCGTTCGGAACCAAGAAAAAACCATCTGGGAGTATGTTAGAATACAACAGATATACGTACAAGAACTTTCATTTGTTTATATGTACTATACGGAGAAATAAGAAGCTAAGTAGTGCCACCGGCGTGCAATTTTCTTCTTTGAACCGTGCTTCTTAGACCTTCTCTGTATGCTTGTGGCGTAAAACAGGCTGTTTGGTCATGTACTCCTACAGAGGTTTACTTACCAAAAATCCGACCTTCTCATCAAAACTTTTCTCAAAAAACTCGGATTCCGACCTTTTATAAGTACCCCTCTGGTGTATCTTATTTTGGCGACTATCAGGCATTGGGGAGCATATAGCCCCTAGGAGGGTTGAAAAGGCCCTCGGAGACCATTCTTCATTCTCATAACAAGTTTGCTTGACCATGAACAGAAGTATTGATGATGCTCGCAAAGTTACTCATGGGTAGTGTCCAGCTTAGGCATGGACGGGATTGGATGACATCCTTCTGAGATGAGTTACCTGAACTCTCCTTCAGCTGCCACTATGTCATCATCTGAGTGGTTTCTTTCGGATCCATTGATCTGAAACTCTGTGAACTTGTTGTCCGGTTTTGAATAGGCCACTTTGATCGTTGCATCGTGATTTGTTGGGATAAGAGTTGATGATGTAGGGTCATGATTTTCATCTTTAGCTGGTGTAGCAAGAATAGTACAAGATGAAGATAAAAGGCTTATCACAAGCCATAGCCCAAGCCGTAAAAAATACATGCATCATGGGTGCCATAATCAGAAGATTCACATTTGACAAAGAAATGGAAGGAAGTGAAAATAATTAGCAAATGTTTCAATGGTCTTGTAGACAGTGTAGATAGTCAAGTGATGGGGTAAACTGACTCTCTCCTATTTTAGTAGGATAATCGGGAGTCAAACCTGAGAGTCGGGATTAGACTTGAAAGGATGACAACAGGTCGGTGCCTAAATTAAATAAGTCCAAGTCTGTTTGCAGGATCGAGCTTCTTCTGCTTGATAACTCTTGCCTGCGAAGCAGAGTTCCACTTGTTAAGTTGAGGTTACTGGTCAGTTAAATGAGAGCACGTTGGAACCAGTGCACATCGAGAACAGTCCTCAACTTCAAACTATGTGTTCCCCTACAAAATTATTTCCAGATCTTGAGACTTGATGGACATGCGTCATAAAGAGCCCTAAAATGACCAGGTAGTATAAGTGCATCTCTTGATCCAGATAGGAACAACAACGGAGTTGGAATTTGAGTTGATTTAATTTCAAGGTTGAGAATTTGTGTATCTGAAGATCATGTTTGATGCTAAAGGAGCGAGACTGGAGCAATGAACGGCATCACCGATGGGATCAGTTTACACTGTAAAAGGTGTGACCAGGTAAATCATAAATGTACCTTGAGTGTATGCGCGTAAGAGTCGACTGGTAACATTCCTCGTAAAGAAAGAGCGGAGACTGGGTATTGCCTCAGATAGAATGAAACTAGATTAAATAAAAAGCACTAGACTATATCAGAATTCCTTTTTCAGCGGGGGTGCCAGATTATTGACCATAACCTCGGTACGAGATCGCCGAAACGCCAAAGTCAAATTCTTGAACCACACTGTAGCTATGGTGAGCTATGGTGATCTGTGACCTGGAATGGCCAATCGATGAAAGATATCAATCCAATCAGTCTACGTTTTGAAATAAAAGAATAAGAAACATTGAGGAAAGAACCTTCAGCCTGGCCCTTACCACATTGCCGGCATTGACATGAAGCATAAAAACTGCAGGTCGAAATCGCGGAAAAACGAGTGTCCTGGGAAACAAGGTATTGTCGATTTTACACAGCCTGCCGCAAGCTCCGCGCTAATTGGTTTGAGTTTATGTAGCGGGCTGTAGCGGGAATTGTTCAAATTGACAGTAGCATAGCTAGAGTTTGCGTTCATCAATCACATCCCCTCCTATCCCCTCTTCAACGCTCGATTTTATCATTTATGTACTTATGTACTTGCCCTGTGGAAGTACACCAACGAATACGATTGCTTGGACGGTAAAGAGTCAATCTGAAATCTGTATCTTTTCCGCTCCTCGACCTCACTCAATTCATGCAAAGCACACTATGTAAAGCCTACGAACTCTCAACAACGTTATGTTTCTCGTCAGATAAATTTGTATCTATTGGTCTTGTTGTCTCATTTGATTTTTTTCCTTCTGCGAGTTTTTCTTCATCATCGACATCAAGCCGTTAGCTTAACAAAGCCGATACTTACCAAGGCTAGAAAAGAGTGACACATGATCAATCAAATCCTGTCCCCGGAACAATAGTTTCAGACCCATTTTTGACAAGTAAAGCTTGTGCATCAAGGTGAAGTTTTATATCGTCCCGTAGTGGAGGCCTCTTGGTTTCATTTGCGCCACCTTTGACAAGTTATGAACTTAATAAGATCATTCATTCATGGCCTCATCTCAATGATAAACAAGCTACATATACGCTCGAAGACACTTGGACTTATGCAACAGCGTTTAAGAATTTTGACGTGAGCCAAGCCCACGATTCCGAATCAAGCAGCAGTCGATCTCAAAAAGCTTCTCCGAGTTTGCCCACAAAACTCAAGGATATTGCGGGAAATTCGGGACAAGCTTTATATGAAACTTGCGTGAAAATGTTCCGAATCAGGACCTCCGGATCTCGTCAGCTATAATTCCCGCCGGTACTGTGTATCCCCTTCAACGCTACAGCCAATCATCTCCATCACTCCAGAGTCCACTTCTTTTCTCCTTCTTGCTGTGCCGTAAGTTTGGCACAGATTCGGGGTACACACAAAACCTAGTAAGAATAGAAATCCCACTCATAAGTGGAAGGTGAGAAGATTTCAATGTCAGTACCCACAGAACGCATCATCCGGCATATTCGGTATGTATATAACTGCAGTTTTGCGGAAAAGAATAGACAACATGGATTGGCATTCGATCATCCGCGAGTGACCTACATAAAGTCTACAACCTCGTAGGGTGGCTTCATCAACCCAGAAGAAATCGCCCATTGACAGAGTGAAGATTGTATCACATCAGCACCTTTCGAGCAAGCTATCAAGGATGATATGTATGTAGATACAAAAGGGATATTCGTGCTCAAGAGGCGGACTTCCATAAACCAACGCCCGACAGCATGCGGAGTACAAAAAGGCTGACCATCCAGACTAGCCAGTGATCCTCCACGCACATCGTGTACTAATGAGTGGAGTGTGTATATAATCACAGATAATCAGTCTTTAGCTGGCGCTCCATAGATAAATTGACTTTCTTTGATGACATGTGTAGATCAGCCATCTTGACCTGGTCTAAAGATGCCGAAGCTCCGGACAAAGGTTTAACTGAGTATCTGTTGTGAATTAGTCTAACTTTGCAATGGGATAAAGAATCTGCTACACATGAGTACAAACAATCTGGATATTCAACTCAAGGTTTATTATCAGGATTATTAGGATTGTACGCTATTAAAATCTGCTTGCTCGATACTATGAGGCAGAGCGATCAGATATCTCGGAACTGGTTGTGATTAACTTCACTCAATTTTACGCCATCGGGAAGAGAACCATGGACTACACATGATGCCCGCTTCATTACCAACAGGATAACCCAAGTAACTTGTACATACTATTGTAAAGATGGGATTTAGCATGATGTTATTTAACGAGAGATATTCAAAATGTTTTTAAGACATCTTAGAAAATGGTATTTTCTCTGGCGAATGAAAACTGCGGTTTCATCTCGAAGCCAATTAGTCGCCAACGGTCTGGACATGCCGAGCTCTGGATATCACAGCGTATATCTAGAGACGACTTAACATATGCGAGATCTCGCGCGATTGCAAACTGATATTCACCACTCTCGCAGACGCGAGTTTGAAAGAAGGTGAGAGCAGGGTGAGCACAGCTATGATCTATCCCCTCTCATCTTCATTCATCCGAAGTACGATCATCTCCAAATGGAAGACTATGCACGCCGCGGCCAGATAGGTGGAATTGGATACAGATCGAATGTGATCCTAATTCGGTAAAAAGTGCCATGAGTCGAGGATTTATAATTGGATTGACTTGAAAAACAGAAGAATATGATTAGTCAATGGGATGTTTTGACTTTGATGGCGTCCCCTTTTGACCATGATCATTTGCTGGCGGACTCCTGTGTTTTGACCTCACCTATGATATTCGATTTCTTTATGCCCCTTCTTCACTCTCCTTTATCTTACACCCACGGCCTTTTACAGAACTTTTCGTAGTATGGATGGAGCTGACCAGTCCCGAGTCTGATGCATCAGTCGGGACGCATCCCACCCCTGTATGTGTACTCATCCGTTGCGATCTACCCCGGCCCCCCTACTGCCAAAAATCTTTCAGGCGCGATGATTTCGGCCGCAATCATTTTGTCTGAAGATTAATATCATATAACTGCCCTCGGAGAGACGTCTATACTTTTCACTACAGGTACTTGAAGTGGGTTGACTGGCAATGTCGAACTATCTTGATCTGAGTAACGAATGACAAGGAGTGATGAGAGGAATCTTGTGAAGCTTGGATATATTTCACCTAATTTACCGTAACTCACCAATTCTCAAATAAACATTCCGTGCCACTATTAACATTCCGGCTGTCTAGCGAAGCGAAATGGAGGATTGGGAAGATACCTCTCTTATTATCTGTCAGCTTCACTTTCTTGTGACTTGGGTTAATTTTTATTTAAAATTAGAGCTTCTGACGGCCTGTTGGTGGGTGATTGAACCCCAACCATAAGATCAGAAGGTGCAAGCCGTGGGTCGGTGTCCATCATTGGCTCGAAAGCTTCAACTGAGAGGAGTTGGGAGTCTAATTTCCTGACCACACATTCCGTTAGCCGACCTGCCCTTTTCAATCGAAAGGATATCTTTCTCGTTGTGAGGCTAATTACTCTGTGTACTGTGATTCTTTTTTTCATCATTATCCTCCTTTTTTCGGATACACAAACTAGGATTTTCATAGTCATTAAAAGCATGCTCCCACCACACATATTCATCATCAGTCTACCTCCTGTTTGCCGAAATATAGCGGAATTAAAGAGCGGGTTACGAGGATCTTTGTCTAGTTTGAATGCTTGGCCTTCATTCTCCCAGCGCTCCACGTAAACCTGGGCCAATCAGGCCAACAAGTTAGGTGAGTCCCCTCGGGATGATTTTTCAGACTTGCTTTTTTTAGCTATCTCTGCGCTCTCCTCTGTTTCATTTGATACAGCGAATCTCCATCTATCTGAATATTCACAAGAAATTGATTGTTTCAATTGTCGATTGTTTTGCGCCTTCCCATTCTGATTTTCCTTCATCCTACCTCAGTGTTCATATCTATTCAACTACACCTTCAACAAGTTGTACTTCGAAATATCTTCTCGCAATCGGATCAATTGGTTGGTCGTGTGAGCGGTTATTGAACACTGGTTAATTGTTGGTCAAGAATCCTTTTGAGCCTTCTTCTGATAGAGCTGAGCAGCTCAACTTACCTGAGATTATCAACTGATCAATATCCTCATCGGCATCATCAAAACTTTTTGTGTCAATCATGGATTCACATCCCAGTGGCGGGCGTGGTAACGCCGCTGGTCGAGCTCTATACGACCAAACTACGAGTGACAATCCATCAACTTCACACTCGCATCAGTTTGTAGATTCATCTGCTTATCCCTTCAAGGCTTCATCCGACAAAATGGTAGATTCACACCCACCACCACTGTCTTCGTCGACCACATCATCTCAGCATCAGTGAGACTCTTTCTTTTGACTTCTTGACTGTTTCATTAACTTCATTTTTCTATCTGAGTCATCATCTCTCACCTTCTGGAGATCCCGTTCTAATCATGGAAGAATATCAATTATTATCTTGTTTTGAGTTCCAGACTCAAAAGATTGCCCGATCGGATTGATACAAACAGATCTGCTTGACCCTTTCACTTCATCGTCATTGATTGAACTGCAATTCATTTCTATGAACATCATTCTTCCTCTTAAATCATAGCTTCTGGTCTATATGTGCTGAGGGACACAATCTGACTGTTTTTCTCAATTCCCACTTGGTCTTACTTACTCTGCCTCTTTCGATTCATGTCAAACATTCGCATTCTCGAACTCTACTCGCCTCAACAATCCCCCCAATCTGCCATGTGTGCACTTCAATGACTTGCTACTTGTGCATGCGGATTCGACGAAACAAATGGGTCCTCGCGCTTATCTGATGTTAGATCATTATCTCGACCTGGTTCCGGTTGGTTACTTTTTTTTCTATGCACAGACGCTGCCTTCCCCTTTTTTGCTCTATTTTTGCATTCGGTGTCGTCTCAGTTCAAAAACTACCCATCCTGTGATGTATCACAACAGCGGAGCTAAGCCGAGATATCTCAGGGGATGGGCTGTCTCAGACTGTCTCTCAGTCAAATCACCGATAGGTGTACTTCCTCGGCATGTACATATCTGAACCTCATCTTGAACGTTTGAAACAGGCTCGAACACAGAATGGTCATCGGGGATCCAACATCCGAATCGCCGTCCATATAATCCCACGCTAGAAACTGCGCGAGATTTACCACCTCCACCCTATCCATCCCCTACTTCAACGCAACATGTTGGGTTTGATAATACCCCCGCTAGCACTGCCAGCTCAACAGCTTCCCGGCGCAGTTCAGCGCAAAACGCGCCTCCCGAATTCGTTCCATCGAGCACAGTCTCCACACCTACCGTGGGACCTGTCAGTCAGCCAACATCTCAAACATCATACGCTTATGATGATTCCAACATCGCCATGATTGCTGCGATTGATTGCGGGCTTGATGTCCGGCCGTTATAGTACGAAACTTTTCTTCTCTGCTTGATTTTTCTCGTCTCCTTAGTCCGCTTGCTTTTATTGCCGCGAGCAACATCACGCTATGTAAATATACTTTGCTTTCCGATACATTGGCACGCTAATTTAATCTGAGGTTCTAAAGGAAGCTTGTCCCATGTCAATATCTCGCGGTGCTATGTTGCTCATCTTTCTCTCGCCTCGAGATGAATGTTGACTTGATGATCGTGGGATACGATGATGCAATTTCTCAGTTTTTTCTGGCCTGTCAGAATTCCCGCCCTTCATAAGCCTTCATAGCCTCTCAAATTGCGCTAAGTTTATTTACTGCATATGCTGACTGTTTGGGCCTGCGGTTTCTTGTTATACCTCAATGTTTGATTTCACAAACACTGTTATCTTATCACCTACTCACCATAACACAGCGGCGATCCACGGCAGATCAGAGGTTAGTCACTTTTCTTTTGTACACTGTCAGAAGCAAGGCTGTGCCCATATCTCTTCACATTCTCTCGACGACGCGGTTTCCATTGTGGGGTGGTAACCGCTAGCTTCTTCAGAGTGATTCAAATGCTTTCCGCATGGCACATTTGAGTGCTATGTAGAAACAATTTTGCTGATGTCGTAGTCGGACCTATCAAATTGCATTCAATGCAAGCGGTGCTCTTGTATCCCATCCATAGACTCCATCGGCACAGCTATGCCGAACTTTCATGTTCTGTTAATGACTTGTGTCAAATTTTTCAAATATACCACGAAGGTTGAATATCTCTCCGCGCGGTACTGAATCTTGATCTACCCGCTTTCTTCCAAATGACAGGTTCGGACGACGTGCGAGGTTCATATTACACCAACAGCCAACCACCTGCTTCATCTCATTATCACGTTGGTCCCATCTTACCAAGCCACTTTCCACACGTTTCTCCGTCTTTTCCTCACAATCAAAGTGCGGTTGGTGGACCTGTTCGGCGAGTCTCTACGTTTGCCGACGGCCGGATGCTTTATAACACAAACCCGCCGGTGTCCGATCCCACCACTCGGACAAATTATAGCGGGATTCCTATCAATTCTTACTCGCTCCAACATCACAATCATGAAGGGGCACCCACGCCATCATCAGCCTGGTCGCATACCACCGTTGATTCAGTAAGGGATTCTGTTAGCCCATATACTCGACCCCGTCCTGGTGAACATGGAGGTGGACGCAATAACAACTGTCCGACCAACAACTCTACGGCTTCCAACGCTTCCTCCCGTTTAGGGCCTACGTCGGCAGCCAACATGCCAGGTGGAATGCAATACAACGCCCAAGGTCGACCATTGGCCTATATGTTAGTCAATTTCCACCCGTATTCAAGATATCTTTTTATGATTAATCTGATAGTGGTTTGATGTTCGATTAGATGCAATACATGTATGTTAAGGTCTACGTCTCTGCGCTTTCGCACTTTCAACTTACATGTCACCCACAGGTATGCGTGCTTTCGACCGACCCAGTGCTTTACAGATTCACGAGCGCAGTCATACCGTTAGTTTCTCACTCTTTTCTACGCCTTTTTCAGAATGATGCTCACCATGTGCTGTCGATTTAATCTTTGTATCTTTCTCTCAGGGAGAAAGACGTAAGTTTACCCCATCCCGCTTCATCGATCGCAATTGTTGTTTTCATGGAAGTCTATGCTCATAAATCTTACACGACATAGCCTTTCCATGTCCTTGGAATGGTTGCATCAAAAGATTCACCACTCATGTAAGCTACACGTATCATTGACTAGTTCCACTTTTTCGTTCGTGAGAAGAACAGCTTATTGAATCAAATTCACAACAGGGTAACATGGTTAAGCATTCTCGAGTCTGTCCTTTTCGAGAACCAGAAGAATCTTGAACAATAGACAAGGGGTATCATCTAGAGCTCTATCTGCGACTCGCCCGCCGGTTCAACGACTTTGACTTTCCATATTCTGCTTGAAAGAAATCACTTTAGGGTTTTGTCGGTTAAGAACTCAACCTCATCAAATAAAAAAATGATCAAGATTTGATACTGAAATAATTACTGTCCCATTCAATATGATGAAAATTTTTAAACCTCATTTTGACATTTTTCCATTTTCCCAAATCTGTTCCTAATATTACATTTCTTCATCCTCAACCTCATACTAAACTTGGGTTTATGTTCTTCATCTTTCTATTTTGATCATATGAAGCTAAGAAACACTAAAAATTGATAAAGAATACAAATCGTACAAAAAAACAAAAACCCTTGTCCATCTGTTAACTGTTGGTATGAAAGTTGTGTGTTTAATTAATGATCTTTTGTTCTGTTTTATCATCCTTTTTGTTTCAAATATCTGTCTACAGTCCATTCATGTTGCTTTGGATTGGTTGTAGTCTGTTTTGATTCCTTTATTTTCTTCTTACATTCTTTGCCTCTTGACACTTTCAAGAATAATTCTATGAAGAGAGTGAGCTTAGACCTAGATTTGGTCGTTTTCAGATTATACGAATAGATCCAACTTTCTTGACATCTCTCAATGTGACTTGAAGCCTCCCAATCGAGTTCGTCATACGATATCTTTAACTGAATTGTCTTCAACAAGTTTGTCTTTGATCTATAGTTTTACAAATGGCGAAAAGCCTAAGCCTTGTCCTAACTTTTTGGCCCATGTTCTTTGACCAAAATTTTCAACAAGATGATGATATCAGTCCGGCTCATAGCAAATGCCCATTCAACGATTGTAAGCTATGATGAGTCTTTATTGGTCTCTTTGACCCGTTCAGTATTCAAAATCCCTTCGATCTTGGGTGGTCGTGGACAGCTTGAAAGTCCTTGAAATTTTTACTTGAACGTCGCCAATGAGCATGCCCATGATACGCCACGGAGCAGATTCAACCTCTCTAATTGCTAGTCATCGAGACACCAATCATGAACAATTTTAATATGTTTGTCTTGACTCACAACTCGGGAGTTTCCTGGCGAACTAAATTGGCACAAGAACTAGGTTGCCGATACCATGCTCGGCCCCATGGAGCAAGATGCGATATGTCACGCTGAAACGAGTGATACTAATTTTGACCGCCCAGGTACCTTGAAATGTTCACCCTTTCCTCGAACAAAACATGAATGGTTTTCCCAACACCTTTGAAATGATGAAATCTGATGATAGAGGAAACAAAGATGAGCTCCTCAGCACCACAGTTAAATTAGCATCACTTAGAGCATCCGCACTCGTGCGGTAAGTCGGGTGCGGTAAGGTTAAATTTACCGCAAACGCGGGGTCTTTTCCACACCGGTGAAAAATTAGCCCCGCGGTAGTTAATTTTCGGTCATTTTGCGTTAGCGAATCGGTAAATTTACCAATTGGCTAACGCATGCGGTATCACACATCACGACTTGTTCCCGGCAACTCGACTCCAAAAACAAAACTCAACCAGACCTCCAACACCAAAGTCAACAACCAATATCTCCTTTTCACCACTCACACACGATGAATTCCAAGCCTTACAGTTGCATGAATCAACTCGAGAACGTTTGACACCGATCGATGTCTTCAATTGAAATAAGTCAATCAACCATCTTGAACTCGACTCCAAACCATTCAGATGAAAATGAAAGATGTCTAGATTCATATAGCTATGTAGAGGTCAATATTTAAGAAAATCAACATTAAAAGACCAATCATTGGAGGACTTTTAGGATCAAGTGATACAAATTAAAAATTGAAGTTTGGATTTTTATTTCCTAGTTTTAAATCTTTAAATCTTTTACAGATCATTATGTGTATTCAGACTCATTAAAAGCTTTCTCGATGTAGTAAAGCCTTTGTTTTTTAATTGGAATTCATGTATTAAGATCTGAACAAACTCATGTTAAATTTGTAATTTTAAATTAAGATCTATCGATCGAGTAGATGAACAGGATGATATCGGGTCTTCATGTGTAGATGGAGTATTAGTATCTTAGTGCAAAGAAGAGAACAGTGCCTCTATCACATGAAAACTGGCCATGAAAGCAGGTGATGTGTACTCAAAAAATTAAAACTTTACCTTACTGCACGACCGGTGCGGAGTACATGCACTATCTGTAAAGTTATAAAAGTTACAGCGCTGCTATTACCTTTTCTAAAATGAATGGCACCCCTGGCCCGAAGAAAAAATATTTTTCAGCGCCGCAGTCTCCGCAGCCGGTGCAGTGGACTGTGACAGACAGATGCATTCAGATCAGCTGGCTGACGCGGCCTGCTGAGCACTGCTATTGGCAACCCCTCACCGAACGTTTTCTTTGTGAATCATTAGGGTTTTAATACCAATATGTACCAGTCGGTTTATAAGAAAGATTACCAGCAAAAATAAACGATCGACCATACCCATTCCAAAGAAGAGATGAATCAGAAGTAAGTCATCTTTAACTTGAAATTCATGTTTTTTTCAATTTTGGATTGATTCATCATAATTTCTTCTTTGGGTATTTCCTTTTTAGACCTTATTGACAAGTGGATCTTCAAAAGATTGGGTGAAAATCTCGACCTACACCAAAAGATTGGAATTTTATACCTCAACATAAAAGTAATTCCTATGAAGAAGGAAATGGATAAAGTACACAACCAAATTCATCAGTCAAATCACTTTGTTTTCAATGTTTATTTTGTTTTCTTGAAGAGTTTGAGTTTTTTTGCAATTTAAATTGGTTTTCACATTTTCATGATGATCATTTTGTTTGATCAAGAGTGTTATGAATTTCTTTCAAGATTGGTATTCAAGTAAAGCGCGAAAGCAGGTTTCTTCTTTTGCACACCATTCTTTCATTCAACTTATTTTAATCTTACATCAACTCTGAATTTCTTCAGATCATTATGAAGATTTTCAAAGTAAAGCCAGAAAAATGATGTGATTAATCCAAGGTTTTTATCCTGTGTTTTTCTTTGTTATTCCGGTGTGTTCTTTTTGAACCAGAATCAATAAAACAGATAGGAATTGATATAATAACAATAAAAAGATAGACAAGAGAAAGAGAAAAGTTACAACCATAATATGTATGCATGAAGAATCTGTCAGTAAATTAAAATCAAAGGATTTTGATTCAACAAATAAGAGTTCTTTGAAATGAATGAAGAAAGAACGAAGAAGACAAAAGAGAATTTCAAAGATGTCTTCGATTATTACTACCCAAATTAAATTTCTTTGAATTGAGGATTCTTGACGAGTAGCATAAGCTTAATCCGAAATATCATCAGCTAATCGATGAGACGAATGAATCCGATCCCAATCCCCTAAATGATGATCATCGTCTGATTTGTTTTGTTTGACAACATTGCATCTCATGTCGTCAACCCCAGAGAGGAAGTCCCGCTTGATCTACATGGTCAAAAAAAGAAGACAAAATCAAAATCAAAGTCAAAGAAAAGAAAAAGAAAAAAGGTCAAAAATCAACATGAAATAGATGTGATAGAAAGTTGATAGGATGACATACGTGTGATCGATGAAGCGATTAGTTTGAGGCGTCAGGGAAAATGTTGAGGAGGTGGGTGTTGAATGCCCATCGCAGATGAGTAAACGTTCGGTGAGGGGTTGCCAATAGCAGTGCTCAGCAGGCCGCGTCAGCCAGCTGATCTGAATGCATCTGTCTGTCACAGTCCACTGCACCGGCTGCGGGGACTGCGGCGCTGAAAAATATTTTTTCTTTGGGCCAGGGGTGCCATTCATTTTAGAAAAGGTAATAATGCAAACGAGTGCGAAATTTGGTTGAGTTAAGTAACTTTTTACTTAATGTTGTGTTTGTTACCGCACGTGACCAAATTAACAACCGCAAACGAGTGCGGATGCTCTTATGCATTAGATACTGTGATGGGACACAAATGAGTAGACACCCCACCCAAACAGAGCACACATATAGAAGATAGAACAGACCCGCAAACCAGTCAAAACCACACACATTTGTATTGGACCTTAACTGGCTTGAGTAAAGTGTGCAAACTATCTCCAGAGGCAAGTCTTTGATTAGATTTTGCCTCTCTTTTTCTACCTAGAACTGGTAGAATGATTCTTTTCTGTAATTGTGAGTGCCCTAATAGGTTCAGGAATACCAAATTCATCATAATAATCGATATAGATACGCTATGGGCAAAGCAGTATACCTAGAAAGGGTGTAGGTATGTTATGACTAGGTGGGTTCCAATCAGAAGGCAGTTATCTACTTCAATTTTATGAGGTAATATAATATTCACCAAAAAAGGCTCAGTATACTGCCAAGGCTTGGTTTATCTGAATCTCCTCACTTTTTATATGTGACCAACTGAAGTCACCCATTAAGAAGAGTCACAACATGCACTTCTTGCATCCCGGAAAGATAACAAACTGGCAAGGTCTATGCAAACCAGGAAAATGAACTGGCTGGAAACTATATAGACCACCCATGTCATGAAGGATATGAACTGAGGAGTCCTTGGTTGGATTGTCCCAAGGGAAAGAGAATTGATAGAATCAATATAAAGACTCCAGAGCTTGAAGAATTCTCCATAATGCATCTGGGGGCTCCCTTCATTTCTAGGTTGTAATTTAAGGACTCCTTACAGTTGCTTCAGCCTAGTATCAACCACAGCCTGGCCCTGTACTCAGCCCCAGGACCCAAATTTTTGGCTCTCCAGTATTAGTAATACCAAATCCATTCTTGGTGACATTTTTGTGCTTGATTGGATTGGACACTCAACTTATGTCCTAAAGTACTTAATCTAAGTAACCAAGTGCTGAATATTGAGCTCATAGTTAGCCTAATTTTGGGCTTCTAGTCTTACAGACCCAAATATGTGGGTTGGCTCCAGTGTGGTTCTGAGTGAAACAAGAAAAAAAAAGAAAAAAAATAGTTGGTAAGATTGAATTTGACTTGGCCGGGTCATTT